GGGCTCTACAGCACCAAAAGCTCTACATCCCTTTTTTTTTTTTTTTTTTTTTTTTTTTGGGAGGGGTGTTCGTCATATTGTACCGGACCGTTCATATGGCCATACGTACACCCGTACGACCAGAGCCCCGTATGACGTACAGCGTGTTACACAGGAGTGCAACACAACCGAAAAGGCCCCCGAAACGGGCCGTACGGCCTGTATGACTGCCTAGGGGGCCCCTACGTACGGCCGTACAACCGTTCATACTCCCCGTATCTGTACGGGAGGAAACACAACTTTGTGTGTTTCTCTCTCTCTCTCTCTCTCTCTCTCTCTCTCTCTCTCTCTCTCTCTCTCTGTCTGTGTCTCTCTCTGTCTCTCTCTCTCTCTCTCTCTCTCTCTGGAGTCTCTCCGGTAACGTGCAGACCAGAACAAGAACCGACCTTTCAATACAAAGTATAAGATAGCACAACGGAAGACTTGGATACCAGTGATCCGAACAATCAATGTTGCAATGGAGCCCTGAACATACATCATCATCATCGTTACATGGTGTGAAATGGGCCTGGCGCTTTACACAGGAAGACTGCGCCAGCCCATACCATAGACAGATGAAGAGGAAGGAGATAGATGAAGAGGAGGGGAAAGATGTGAATGTCGTCAACACCAAGTCTTCGGCATGAGCCCAAATAGTCCCTCGTCAAAATGTCTTAATCCCAAATGTCAAGTCTGGATCCAATGTCGTCAAGTCTCAAGTCACAACTCTGTCTCTCTCTCTGTCGTAGTCTGAGAAGTCAGGTGGCGAGAGGGTGAGAAGAGAAGGTGGACTTAGAAGAGGAAGAAGAAAAACTCTCTCTCTCTGTGTCCAGTACTAACCTGTGAAGTTGGCGTCTTGATGCAGATACCACGAACATGGAGTTGGAGCGATGGCGCCACAGGTAAGTACCACTGGCCTCCGCCAGTCTCTCTCTCTCCCACTCTACGATCTACCACCTACCATCGCCCAGCGCTGAAGACTACAGCTACAGCTATGGCGCCCAGCGTCGAAGACTATAGCTAGCGCTAATACCACCTAGCGCTGAAGACTACTGCAGCGCTCCTCCTGAGTGCTGCGGCCCAAATCCTGAAGACTACCTCGTGCCTACTGAACTACCTAACCGTGAAGTGCATGGGGACTTCCTATGTACTACCGGGTGTGCCTCCTGAGCCTGCCGAAGGGAGGCAGGGGCTGCAGCTGCAGCTGCAGCTCCTGCTCAAACTCGTGAGGAACAGGTTATTTTTGGCCTGTTCCGCATCCCTGTTTACGTGCCTGAGTCTTAGGGGCAGGTCGAAACAATGCGGGCCTGAAAATGGCCCTCAGTTTCAGGCTGAAAACTCTGGGTCTGAAAAGACCCAGAAATAGGCTGAAACGGGGTAGGGCCTGCAGACCCTCGTTTTTCAGCTTTCAGGTTGAAATGAACGGGGCCTGTAAGCCCTAAGTTTTAGGCTTTTAGGCTGAATGCCTGGGACGGGCCCTGCAGGGCCCGTGTGGCTACGAAGTATGCCACACCCCCCCCTCCTTGAAGAACCGAGCTTACCTGCGAGGGCGAAGCTGTCTGTCTGAGGGAGGGACCTCAGTCCGGGTGGGAGGGGCTGGTCGAGAAGCTTCCTGAGCTAACCTCCGCTTTTCATAATGCGCGTAGATCAGCGGTGCGGATGCTTTCAAATCTGCACCTGAAATCCACCGAGTGTCGTCGCGATCGCATGCTTTGAATGTGACTTTGTACTGCCGTGGCTTGCTCTCGTACTTGCGATCGGAGATGACGCGGTCAACTTCCTGATGGACATCCATAGGAGGGTCCTGCGATCGTCGATCGGAAAAGTTGTCGCTCTTGGCTGGCGTGGTTGTTGCCAGCTTCGAGGCGTGGAAGACCGGATGGACCGTCCGATGCTCTGGAATGTTGATCACAAATGAAGGGCCATCGGGCTCATCGCCCGCGGCTGCTGTCACAGACCAAGGTCCAAACCACTTGGGAAGCAGTTTGCGTGAAACATCCTGTTCCAGTGCAAACTCTTCCGCAGAGACCCAAACCAGATCACCGACGCAAATGGGACATGGTATGCGACGCCTGTTGGCTTGCTGCTGCATGCAGACTTGAGCCTTTTGCATATTTGCGCGGGCTTGAGTCAACAATTCCCTGTACTTCCGGACGGAAGCGGGAGAGCAGGCAGCGTTAATATCGGCTGGTCGAGGGAGGAGAAGGTCGGCGAAGATCCGGCCTTTCTGTCCACCGTGGTGTAACTCGAATGGAGTCACGCCGATCGCAGGATGCACCGAAGTGTTGTAGGCGAACTCGATGTCGGGGAGGCGGTCAACCCAATCTTTCTGGTCCGTACGGATGAGCGTACGAAGCATCATTTGAGCGGTTTGATGTGCCCGCTCCGTCTGCCCGTCTGTCTGAGGATGTCGAGCCGAACTTGGTTTCATTGTTGTGCCGGACTCTTGCATGAGAGCAGTCCAAAACGCCGACATGAAACGAGTGTCGCGGTCGCTGACAATGTCTTCTGGTACACCGTGGCCACAAATCCAACCAGTGTGCAGGAGGCGTGCCAGCTCGGGAGCCATGGAGTAGTACTTGCAAGGGAAAAAACCCGCGTACTTACTCAATCGGTCCACAGTCGTGAGGATGCCGTCGTGCCCGAGCCGGTCGCGAGGAAACGGACCGGTGACGTCCATGGCAATGGAGAGACCGGGTTCCCGTGGGATAGGCATCGAGTGTAACTCGCCGTAGGGATTGCGGTTGCGGGGCTTGCTGCGTCGGCAAACTTCGCAAGAGTCGCAATACCGAGTGACATCGGTAATGAGGTCAGGCCAACGGAATCGCTGTCGAGGCCGTGCAATAGTGCGGTTGACTCCGAAATGGCCGGCGAGTTGTGAATCATGATACTCGTCGAGGAGGCGAGTCCGAAAACGACGGTCGTGTGGGACACATAGTAAGTCCTTGCTCTCGAGTGGAGGAGCAAGTACCCGTCGACAATGCGGTAATGGCTGGCCGGCGGGTGATCCGAAGATAGCTGTGCATAGAGCATGCCGAAGTCCGGATCTGATTGATATGCCCGGATGAAGTGTCGCTGAAGCTCCTTGTCGAATGCGAAGGCATGATGTGTCATAGCGCAAAGATCAGGTCTTCGCGAGAGTGCATCTGTTGTGCGATTGGAGAGGCAGGGGACATGTTTCGGTGTGAAGTCGAATTGGTCGATGAAGTACATCCATCGTTTGATCGTGCTGCTCACCGTGTCGTGCGTCTTATAGTAGGTCAATGGATTGTTGTATGTGACCCATGTGAACCTACAACGCCCAAGGAGGAAGTGCCTCCAGCGCTTGAGAGCCATCACAAATGCAAGCAGCTCCTTCTTCCTTGCATCATCAAGCGAGTTGATGGGAGGCGCTTTGTGGCTGAGATACTCCACAGGGTGCCAGTCGTCGTCGTTGTGCGGTTCCAAGACTGCCCCAATGCCATAGGCGGAAGCGTCCGTAGTCACTCGCGTTGGCAGGGTGGGGTCATAGATGCTAAGGACGGGTGCCATGAGCATAGCCGTCTTAAGTGCTTGGAATGACCGGCGTGCGTCGTCATCGAATACGAATGGAACCTTTGGCGACTGTAATCTCGTCATAGGTGCAACAATCCTGGAGTATCCGGTGATGAATCACTGATAGTTGCCCGCCAACCCCATGAATGAACGAACGTTCGTGGTGTTGGTGGGCTCGGGCCATACTTGTAGGGCCTCGATCTTGTCCGCAAGCGGAGGGATGCCTTGCGGCATCACATTGTGTCCCAAGTACTCCAGCTCCTGCTGTGCGAACTCGCACTTGTCGCAGTTTGCTTTGTACTTGGCTTGTCGTAGCCGCTCCAAAACGGTGCGCAGGTGTTCCACATGCTCGTCCAAACTCTGACTATACACCAAGATATCGTTGAGGTAGATGAGTACAAACCGATCCAGCATGTGTCGGAACTCCGTTATCATAGCCGCTTGGAAAGTGGCTGGGGCATTCGTAAGGCCAAACGACATGACCAGCCATTCGAAATGCCCATACCGTGTCTTGAACGCGGTCTTGTAGCGATCCTCCTTGCGAATCTCAAGTTGGTGGTACCCTGACTTGAGATCCGCTTAGAGAATAATTGGGCGCCGCCCAATCGCTCGAGAAGGTCATTGATGCGTGGGAGAGGGTCGGCGTTCCCGATCGTCTGCGCGTTGAGCTTGCGATAATCGATGCACAACCGCAGGTCCTTGTTCTTCTTCCGGACGAAGAAAACAGGAGCACCATATGGCGATGAGCTGGGCTGAATCCAGCCTTTCTCTAGAAGGTCGTCGAGTTGTGCATGGAGCACACTTAACTCTTCCTCGCTCATTCGGTAGATGCAACCGTGCGGAGGTACGGCCCCGTCCTCGAGGATGATCTCGTGGCGGATGGGTCGATCCGGTACTACTCCGTGCGGGCCTTCGAACACGTCGCTGTAGGCGTCGAGAAGTTCGGTGATGCGTGAATCCGAAGGTGAGTCCGTCGATGAAGCGTCATGGGGCGGGAGGGCGTGGAGAAAATACACCCCCATCTCCTCGATGTTGTCTCTGATGATGGAAGCTCGCATGCTTGCGGCGGATACCACGTGGCAGTTGATCGAAGGATGAGGAAGAGGCACCATGCATGGAACTAGTACTCCGTTCCGATCACGAATGTGAACGGTGCGGTTGAAGAAGTTCACCGGGTGATCCTCGCTTCGGAGCCATGACATGCCCAAGATCATGTAAAATTTGGTGTCCATAATGTCAAAGGACACCGCCTCACTTGAGTGAGGGGCAAAGTACACTGGGACGCTGTCAATGCACCGATCGATTGACTTGTGCGTGTGACCGTCCGCCAATGTGACTTGCGTAGGCTGGGGCTTCCTCCGAACGCGTGGGCCAAGGCCGGCACGCACCATGAAGTCCTGGCTGATGTAGTTGCGAGACCCTCCGCAATCGATCAAGGCACTGCAGGTCGCCTCTCCAATCTGAATGCGTACGTATAGCAATGGTGCGTCGATGTCGTCGTACCGTTGCGTCTTGAACTCGAGGTCGATCTTCGCGATGTAAGCGTGAAGGTCGACAACCTCTGCTTCGGCGTCCATCAACGGAGTAAGTACTGCAGTGTGCAAGTAGTCCCGCAGTTGTGCCATGAGCACATTGCAATGTGGTTTCGGCAATCGTCCGGTCGAGGGAACGGGCATCCACTGGAAGTCCGTGAACGTCAACGGGTCGAGCTCTTCAAGTCTTGACCATGACGTCGAATCCTCAACGATAGATTGCGGCGAAGCTGCCGAATCGGTTGCCGATGGTGATGAAACCGTGCATGCGGTGGACTGTTGCACGTGGAGCGGTTGGTCTAGCGGTGGAACCAAGTGGACAGCATAATCCTCGTAAGTATACCGAGGACTTGCGGCATTCGCATCCTCCCCAGATGTGCAGGAGGCCACTAGCAAGGCGGCCGAATCTGGTGGAGTAGAAGGTGGAGTCGCCTCACCTTCCGCGGAGCTCAGTTTCCCGAGCTGAGGCGGGGTCGCACATCCTCCTTGCCCTGATCCTGGCATAGGGAGGTCTTGTGCTTGGTGCTGTTGCACCAGTAGCAGTTGCCGTAGTGGTCGCGAACCTTGTACTCCGCCTCGGTCAAGCCAAACTTGACCCATGGAACTTGTACTGGCTGTCAATTTCCGACCTGCGATGCGGATTTCGCCTTCCCATTGTTGCGAGACTTGTTGTTGCTTCGCGGCTGGACAGCAGCCACCTAATCTCCGTCACTTGATGCTGGAGTGGTTGCTGGGTTATCTCCATTGTCCTGCTGGACTGCAACGAAGTGTTGCTGTCGCGGACCAGTTCGTACCTTCTCCACATAGGTCGGCTGCCATGGTGACTTCTCGTGTGCAGCTGACCTGTTGGTCTTGATGATTTCTCTCACCTTGTCGATAATCTCGGCGAAAGTGGAGTACTGCTCGCGATCACCAAGAGCCTGGCTCAATGCAGCACAGGATCTGTTGTAGAACTCACGTATGAGATGAGTGAAAGGCAGGTCTAGATTGGGCACTGCCGCAATCTTCTGCCACTCCGTGAGCCAGTCCCGTGTTGCAGTGTTGCCCTGTGACATGGTTAACAAACGGTTGATGGCGAGTGTCGGCGCGTCGTCGACGATGAACCGCTTCTTCCACAGCCATGTCAGTTCCTCCCATGTGATTTTGTCCTTCAAGTCTGGTACGTCGACGCCGTGGGAGGTTGCCTGGTGGCTCAACCAGGTCGGGCATCCGCCCTTTGAGTTCAGGAACAGGGCGCCAATGTACGCATGTTTGGCTACGGGCAGAATCCTGAGTTGCGTTGTGAATGCTTCCCACCAGAGGACCAGATCCTGCTGCGTGTAGTCGTCGAACCTCTCCAGATTGAAAGTTGGCATCTTATACATCTTCGGGTTGCCATCCGGGTTCGTCGTCTGCAACTGCTGGACCTCGGTCTTCAATGTATGCAGCTGACTGCTGATGGTGGTGGTCGGCGCAGCGAAAGTGCTGATGTCGCCAAGCATTGCCACTACGTGGTCAACGCGGTCCTCTAGTTGGCGGCTAGAGGGTGCACTGCTGGAAGCCCCAGCAGCTGGTCCTGGTACAGCCTGTTCCAGGTCCAACAATCGGGCATTGAGTGCCCGAGTTGCATCCTCGTGGCATGCACTATGCGGCGGAGCTTTGCCAACTCCTGATGCTGTTGCGTCAGGTCCTGGTACTGTCTCTCCAACTCTGACCGTTGGTAGTTGCAAGCGTACAACAACCTTGTCACGAGTTTGGAGAGGAACTCCTTGTGCTTCTCTTCCGGTGTTGCCTCGTCGCCGTTCAGTTCGAAATGCCAGAACTTGAGTCTGTCGATGCTGTTGGCTTCATGCCGCTGCAGCATATCCTGGGCTTCCTTGCGGCGAGCCTGGGCATCTGCGTCTGCGTCGGCCTGTAGCTGCAGTTGCTCTGCTGCTGCTGCCTCTTCAGCCTGTACGCGGGCAGCCTCGGTTGCCAGCTGGCATTGTTCCTCAGCCTCTATCTGAGCCTGGAACCGCTGCTTGTAGGCTGCAAGGGACTCGTTGGGCAGTTGGCCTGGCAGGCCCGTCATGTTGTTGACGTGGCACTGCTGATGTGGCACTGCTGACGTGGCACTGCTGACATGGCACTGTGTCTGACGTCACTGCTGACGTGGCACTGTCTGACGTGGCACTTTGTCTGACGTGGCATTGTGACCTGGCACTGCTGATGTGGCACTGCTGATCTGGCCGTGTGACGTGGCACTGCTGATCTGGCACTGTTACGTGGCACTGCTGACGTGGCACTGTACTGAACCGGGATGCATGCAAGGGGTGGGTGGGAGGGAAAACGGAGGTAGGTAACCAACCCAACAATCTTTCCTCCGGTCCTAATCAACAGATAAAAAAATAAAATAAAAATAAAAGAGGACAACTTCCTTTTTTTTTTCTTTTTTTTTTGTATATCTGTCGATCTATGATGAGTAGGATATGTCAGAAGAGTATTATGAACGAGATCTAGGCTAGGTTCCGCAAAG